AAGAAAGAGTTAATGGGTTAGGAAGTAAAGAAACTTTTTTCTTGCTTACACTCTCTTTGGCTTTTATCACAAGACTAACGTTTTCCTCACCCTTAGCCTCTTTTCTCTCACTAAAGAGTTTTTCTTTGCTTTAACTCAATCCCTCTTGCTTTTCTCTCTCTACCTCAAAGACTTTGTTCATCTCATTACCTTCTCTCTTTTCTTTTCTTTCAATATCACTCTTTACCCCACTTGACATCCCACTCTTTTCACTCAAGACAACCTCTCCTTTTTCCTCTCTTGGAATGTCAACATGCACTCCCTTACTCCTCTCATTCTTTTCTCTCTCATATTTTTTCATATTCTCTTTAACAATCTTTTCATCTTCACAAATTTGTGAGGGAGTCAAAGGCCCAAGAATGAGTTTCTTCCCATTAATCTCAAAAGAGTATCTATTTTTTTCAATACTATATGAAGCACTTCTATAGACATACCATGGCCATCCCAACAAGATATGAAAACTATTCATCGGAATGACATCACACCAAATCACATCCCCATACCTTCCCATAGAGAATGGCAAGAACACTCTTTTATTTACTTTTACCCCTTTCAACATGTAGGGTTCAATATGTTCAACACAAGGCAAGTTCAATTTCTCAATCATATAAGTGCTAATTAAGTTATAGCCAAATACTTTGTCAATTCTAAGGGCATAAATTGGAGACATCACTTTAGCTCTTGTTTGTCATCAAAATTAGGTAGGGTGGTTGCTAAGAAATAAGAAAAGTCACAAAATTAGGTAGGGGGCGGCCAAATCCCTTTGGGGCAGATTTGGGCCTTAAAACTACTAGTTTGGGTCATTGGTTTGGACTCCAATTGGGCCCCATTTCAAACACCCCCATTTGGACCTCTTTTAAGATCATTTTGGGCTCTTTTGGGTGCCCTTTTGCTATATTTCAAGGGCCGAGTTCGGGACTCAATCTTCCTCCTCTTGGACTTTAATTTGGGTCACCAAATAATTGTAAAACTTGTATAATTTATCTCCTTTGGTCTTGAGCTCGTCCTCCACAATTAAAAGCTTCTTTATTTGCACTTGAAGTCTAATGGCCTTATTTTGCAACTCTTTAGCTTGACTTATTGTTAAAGGCCATCTTTGAGATTCCAAAGCTTCATCCTTGTCCTTGAATAGAGTTGAGCTTCCTAGGATGCTATCACTCTTGGTCAGACTTATTTACTCTATTTCGAGGGTTTTAGTCATGTTATCATGTTTTCTTAGGGGGTTTTAACTTGAGGCAATATGTCACGACCCAAACCGAAGGGCCGCGACGGGCACCCGGTGCCTAACTTAACCGAGTACCAACGAACGTATCCTTCCTATCATACTATCATGGGTAAATGAGCCACAAAGACCGTCATGAGAATACTCGACATAGGACAACCCAACATGGTATACAAACTTATACATGTGACATACGGGGGTATAAGACCGAAATGATCATTTGTATACTCAAAACATAGGACGACAAGGCCATACAATAATCTATATACATGACATTTGTCTACAAGCCCCTAAGAGTACATAAACATCACAAAGGCCAGGAAAGGGCCCCACCGTACCAGTCAATGCATGTCCAAAGCATACTCACCAAATAGGCAACTCCAGGGTAAGTGGAGTATACCAAAACCTTCCGCTGAACTGATAACCTACTAGGAGGACTGTCAACATGTCTATCGTTACCTGTGGGCATGAAACACATCATCCCCAAGCAAAAGGGACGTCAGTACAAATAAAGTACCGAGTATGTAAGGCATGAAAAATAGTATATAAAAGATATGAAAGAAACATGGAGTAAAGGACTCAACCTGTAAGTCTGAATAGCTTAGTAAATCATGAAACCTTTATAGTATTATGTATATGTGTATAAATGTCATATCATGCATAGGTATATGCGTACATATCATTCTAAGCCTCGAAGGGCATCCCATCATATCATATCGGCCTCAGTGGGCGAAATCATTAACGTATACCAGTTGGTCATGTGGTGGTACGTATATAACACCGTAGCCTTTTTCCATACCCCATAAACATATAATATACGCGAATATAACGTTATTTGGTCATGGGTCAATGTACATGTATAAACAAATGCAATGCATAAGGAAGTAAGTCGATAAGATCTCTCGGAATGTCATAAGAACAATGTGCCTTCGGTTAATATCATGAAATAAACTTTATCAACTTATATATTTCTGAGACCCTTGAATAGACGATATAATAACATGACACATGGGGAATCAAGAACATAGGCACCCCTAGTACTTCTAAGAATAGAGTTATTTGTGAAAGTTCTGCGTTTGCTTGTTTCGTTTGTATCATACGAATCATACCCAAAGGGAAGAAGGGATAGCCTTAATATACATTATCACAATCTGTCCAATGACCATGTTGTACTCGTCTCGTTGCACTTTAATCTACAACAACAATAATAATACTATCGTTAAGCTATGAATGATGCAACTATCATACAACGAATGACAAGCTTATTTTATATTAATACAGAAAGCATCTCCCATGTTTTTCTTGCTTTCCCCAAGTCAATCAAAACAAAAAGAACACATACAACCTTCAACTATATACCTTTAGCACCATAAAACACCCAATAGCACAACAACACCAATCAATCTACAATCAACAAGTGCACAAATGTCACCAACGAAACTACTATTTAGCACGACGAGCGACAAGCTTGAATT